TCCTGCCCCTGATTCAGATCGGGGGGGAGAGGGAGGAGAGTGGGGATCGTGCGCGCGGGGGGTGGGGGGAGTGGGTGGACCGGCTAGGGTTTCTCCCCTGGCGGCGGGGTTATGGAGGGGAGGGGTGGGCCGGCTGGGCCTGGGGGTTGGCCCAGTTGGGCCACGGCCCAGAGGGGGGGTTCTCCTTTTTTTTCCTCTTTTTGTTTTCTTTTTCCTTTTCTTTTATTTATTCCTTTCGGTTTTATTAAATTATTAATTTAGTTCAATTTTGAAGAATGTGAGAACAACACCTAAATATGGTGTGTTAAAGATACCACTGCCACATTAATTTGGACAGCTAAATAAAATAGTTTAATATTTTACAAAATACAAAAGGCGTTTAATTTATTTCTTTTGCTGCTGTTTTATTTTCCTTTGAGCATTTAAACATTTTATAAAAATGTGGTTTCATCACCATAATTAACTATGTATTATTTGGTTCACTCCAAACATTTAAATTTTAATATTTGAAAACTTTTATTGTTTGCTCGATTTTGAATTTGAAATTCGAACTAGGTTCCGAACTAACGCGAGTTTATCCACAGTAACCGAGGTGACGTGGCATCATTAGCGGGGATTATTGTAGCTTAATTACCCGGGCGTCACAGTCCCCAAACGATGAACCACCTCTACGCAAGCTCCGTACCGTGGCGGACGGCCTCCTCGCCAACCGATGGGCGCAAGATATCCAAGGCGTCGTGGGGCTCCAGGAGATTGGGCAGTACTAGCAGCTATGGCATAAGATCGAGCACACTACTCTCTCCGCGGAGCCAGACCGCCTAACCTGGAAGTGGAGCGCGAACGTCACCTACTCAGCCAAATCTGCCTACCTCGCCACTTTCCACGGCTCCATCGCCTGCGACGCGTGGAAGCTCACCTGGAAGTGCTGGGTGCCCCCGCGTGTCAGGTTCTTCCACTGGCTAGCTCACCTAGATCGCTGCTGGACCGCCGACTGCCTCACCCGCCGCGGCTTGCCGCACCCCGCGTGTTGCCCCCTTTGCGACCAGGCACCCGAAACCATGAACCACCTCCTCCTTGTCTGTCCCTTCGCCCGGCAGACCTGGCATGAGGTGTTCAGTTGGCTCCGGGCCCCATGCCCCCCGCCTGCTCATGAGCCATCCCTCAACGAATGGTGGCAATCCGCAAGACAGCTCGCGCCCAAGCTCATGCGCAAAGGCCTCGCTTCTGCGGTCCTGCTAGTCCCCTAGATGCTTTGGAAGCACCGCAACAACTGCGTCTTCAATCATGGCCACCCCCCCATTGCTGACTTGCTCGCAAAGATCAAGGAGGAATCGCCCTTTGGGCTGCCGCTGGCGCGTTAGGGCTTAGAGCCATCATCCCGCAAACCTGGGACGTCCATCGACTATCTTCACCCCGAATTGTAACCACCTCCCAGGAGGATTGTAACTATTAACCCCCCCCCCCTTCTTTTGCGTTTTCTTGAAAAAACAATCTAGGAAAATTTTGAACTGACTGATGAGGAAGTAGGGAATAAAGAGCTTGTCTTTTGCATTGGTTTTGAGGTAGTGACCACTTGTTCATTGGTTGTGTTGTAGCATGCATGATATAACTGTAAACTAAGCAACATTTTGGTTAAGAGTAAGTGCATCTAGTGCCCCCTTGTGGATTTTGGATGATTAATAACAACTAGAGAAGGGTCCGAGCACTCTGGGTCTATTGTACGTAGCCTTTTGTCCGGACTGAAGCAACGATCTTCTGACGAGCAGAACACCTGAAACGAGATTCAGTTAAGTTTGAATTCAAATAGATTGGAGCGAAGTGCCCAGAGCCGTCCATCTAAGATCTGACGCTCCACGGACGCTCGTACCGCTTCACGGAGTTATGAAGCCTGGATTGCGGCCACTCTGCATCGGATGGCTGCGGATGGTCGGCTGAGGAGAATAAGGCGAAGACTTATATGTCTTCAGAGTTATGGCTCAGCCTCTCCAACCCAGATGTAGAACTGTGGCAGCAGTTTGAACTGGGGTAAACAAATCTCTGTGTCTTCGTCAAGCAACGGGTTCTATTTCCTTGCAACTCTTTACTTATTGTATTCCTCTGAGTTCCGAACAATTTCCCCTTTCATTTCTCTGTGATTGTTGCGAAGACTTTTCAGTACTTTGATTCTCTTCCACTGCTTAGATTTTCACTAAGTGGTGCACGCTGTGAAAACTTTGTCTATGCTTAGACTGTTAGATTTACTCACATCTTAGCCTGTTTGTATATTGTTTCTGTGATAGCATGTTTTCCATTGTTTTGTTTACCTTGTAACACTGTTGCATGTCCTCTAGTTTATTTAGTTCTTCTACTAGATTGCCTCTGAACTGCTTTACTGCTATCCAATTATTCTTCTATTTACCAAAATATTTCGTGTTTTCGAAGAATTTGTAATAATCTCCCATCCCCCCCGCCACCCACCCCCCTCTCTGGTAGATAATTTTGTTCCTACATTAAGGATTGTTGATGCCTATCAATAACTTTAATTATATTTAATAGCTTCAAGAAGGCAGTCCCAACATGTTGTAAGATAAGGTCTGCACATAGGCATGTACTCCGTATATAAATTTGGAACTCTAGAGGAAAGTGCTTGATGTGAACTAATCATTATTTCTAGCAAGTTGATGTTATTAGTGTCTGCCTTTCTGTATGATGGAAGGTGATCCCAATGACACAAGAGCATCAGCACTTAAATAAATGCTAAAGACTGTACAAAAAAAATATGTCACTCGAAATTAACACTCGATCTGAAAAGTTGGAAAAGATTACTTTCTTGCAGAATACTTAGCTCATACTTACAACATCTGAGAAGGCAACAGAAAGTGATCCAAGAAGAATAGAGAATCCTGCACCATATTTACTGTTCACTACTGTAGCCATCAGACTCCATGAAAGTGTTCCAAGAAATCCTGACAGAATAAGATAGGATCTTCTTCGATACCCATATAGTGGAATAGAATCACTGGAAGGCAAGAGCAGTGGAGTCAGTGCCATCAAATGCACATATACATACAGCAGAAAGGAATGTATGGGGAACTTTCACAAGACCTGATAAAGCCATAGATTGGCTTGATCAACCAGGGCAAGGATGAGAAGCCAGATATAACTGCAGTCTATATAACATAAACCATATTAGTCACTTATTAACATCTACTCCCTCCATTCCTAAATATTTGTCTTTCTAGAGATTTTAACAAGTGACTACATACGGAGCAAAATGAGTGAATCTACACTCTAAAATATGTATATATATATCCGTATGTGGTAGCCATTTGAAATCACTAAAAAGACAAATATTTTGGAACGGAGGAAGTATTGCTTGCAAGGTAAATTATCACATGCATGTAGCAAGACCAAATCTCTAAATAATATCAGGACCACAAAGACAACGAAGGGAAAAAGACCAGGTACCTCAGCTGGATCAAGGTGAAGATCGTCTTTTAAGTAAAAGCTCACAGCAAGTCGGGCAAGGCCTAAGACCCCTTGCACAAAATATACAATGGCAACTGCCATATTATCAGGAGATAGGTCCACCCCGAATGCCGTGAAGTATCCTGACTTGCTCTTGCGTACATCATCTGTACTAGATTGCTTCTTATGCCATCCCTCCAAGTATCTCTTACTTGTATCAGCTTTAGTACATCCCACCTGATATCTAGGCACAATATTTCCTACAGTAGGTACCATGACGGGAATGAGTATCTAAATTCTTCATGCTGTATTAATGTCGTCCAATTTTGCAGAATATTTTGGTTGACGTAACGGAAATATCATGGGGAAAATGTGGGGAAAGAGAGAATGCGGAAGAAAGGTTGAAAGGGTGATGTTGTAACAGATCCAATATGCAAGTCGTCAGGGCCGTATATAGACACGTGCAACTGGAGCAGTTACACAGGGTACCAAAACCCTTGAGTGCCCCAGATTTTTTAACTGTACTAATTATTACTAATCTAAGGACTTATTTTTCAAGAAAACGCAGGGGACCCATGCGTTTCATTCCATTGAAAAGAGAGAGTTTGTAATTACAATCCTCCTAGGAGGTGGTTTCAGACATCAAATAGATGCTAGTGCACATCCCATGTGGTGGGCAGCACAACTCTAAGCCCAGAACTAATCTAAGGACTGGAGACTAATGATCGGTTAAAAACTAAGAGAAAAGGAGTCCAAGCCAGCGATAGAAGCATTTCTATCTATAGGAATTTCACTAACGATTGGAGACTAATGATCGGTTAACACAGTTTGTTGTTAAACCATGGATTTGATTTACCAATTCCATCATTACTGCATACTCTTTGATAACAACTCCAAACTCATGGCCCAACTCACATCTCTCCCATCTGTCTTCGTCTTCCTCTTCCCTCTAAATTTTTTCTCACATCCTCACAAGGAAACTCGCGAATGACAGGCGGATAAACAGCCCACGCTCTTTTTCCAGTGCTTAGCGGCAAATCACAGCAATTAAATCGCTGCAAATTTAGTCCTCATCTCCTCTCTTGATTCTCCTTCGAGGGCTTTACATATTAGATGTTTCTCTACTGATTCTTCCATTCAAGTGTTCCCTTCAAAACATGAGAAAATTACACTACCGCTATGATTACTGATTTTTTTTTGCATTTTTTATACATGGTGCCTAAATTGCGGTTTGCACTGAGCACCGAATTTCTAGGTACATCCTTGCGAGTTGTACAACTAAATGTGGCACAAAGTAGAGAACACTGAACAAACCTATAGGCCTATGTGGCACAAGAGAGGATTGGGCATAGGTGTATGTCTGTTATTTGTGTTTTATGCAGAAAATTTGTGAGAAGATAGACCATTTGGATACACAAGCGGACATAAAATCACCTAATATCCATTATACTTCATCCTTTGATGTTGTAACTTCAAATACAGAACAATATGGTCTACAACCTTGAGAAAGATGAGACTTGGGTGTGGAGGATGGTAATACTATGTTCTTAGATTTCTACTTGCAAAAATGCTACACACGTGGGAACCTTTCCTTGAACAGGTTTATGGAGATAGACAGATAGTGTAGTACTAGCAGTGTCTAAGGTGGGGAGATGTCCCACCTAATCACTAGCGCCTTTTCGGCCTGGCGTGGAGTACAGACTAGCGTGACTACCGAAAGATCCATCTTCAGGATGATGTATAAAACACCACTTCATGTCCGGGGTGAAAACTCTTGTTCTGACCTAATTGGTTGGGCTCAACAACGACAACTTCCGTCGTTAACTTGTTGAAAGTGTTGTCTCCTTGCTGATGTGCTGACCTTCAGTAGCCGGTCTCGGCAATCAGGATGAAAATCCTTGTCTTGGTCGTCTTTGGCCGAACTGGCAACGGCGGCGTGAGGGCGCTTATATCCGTATTGAAGGCGATGTTGTGGAAGAAGTCGACTTAGTCGAAGGTGTTTTTTCATATCTTGTAATGGTTGCATTTGTTCTGTACTCCACTCAATAATTAATAAGAATGGATGTGTGCATCACGTTTAACCTTCTTTTCGAAGAAAAAATAATAATTTTATGCTTCCACTTGAGAAACACGGGGCAAAATATTCGGCTCTTAATTTTCAACTCGTAGAAACCAAAGTATCTATGATTGCACATCACAAAACCCAAGGAATCAAAGCACAATTAACTGCAGCACTGAAAATTGACATCACACTATCCTGTAAACATCAGTGTCTTTCTCAAATAAGTGACAGCCAATGCAGCAAGTGTACAAAAGAGCTTAACAAGACAATACAACACATGAAAATAAATAAGAAGTTTATTCTGTAACAAAACACATGGAGCAAATTGGTAAGCTTAAGATACTAAAAGTGGCCTATTGGCGAAAACATAGTTATTTACAAGCTGTAGTACAAAATAGTGATGATTATTGCACACACAAGGACAGGGGAGGTGAGGAAGCCTCGCATACAGAACTTGGTATAAACATGGCAACTATTCTGCCACTAGTGCCCAGTGATACATATTGTACATGATAGCTTTCCCCTCTCGGTTCCTCTCTTTCTGGCATACTCTCTGACTACGCTCCTTCCTACACATTAAGGCAACTCCAACGCGGATCATCAAATCGCCCGCAAATGTCCAGACCAGACAGTCCGGACACTTCTAGCAATCCAACGCACCTCACAAATATTAAGCTTCAACTAACCAACGCAATCAAAAATCCAAACTATGGGAGTGTCGGACATTACACTCCAACACTCCCCTTCAACGTCTATGCTCCTTTGGAGTTATGACGTGGGCAGCAAAAGCAGGGGCAGGCCGCAATTATTTATTGCGGTTATTGGGTTTTGAACCATGAACCTCTTGGTGTAAGTTGTATGCACCTAACTAGTTCACCCATCAGTCCGAACTATGGGAGAGGGCGGGACACTATACTCCAATACTCCCCCCTCACGTCTATTATCCTTTGAAGTTATGATTTGGGCATCGGAAGCGGAGGCAGGCCACAATTATTTAATGCATTTACTATGTTTTGAACCCTGAACCTCTTGGTTGTAAGTTGTATGCACCTAATCAGTTCACTCATCAATCTGTCCTCGGTATGGGAGAGGGAACGAAAATATACTCCAACACTCCCCCTCACGTCTTGAGCCATACCTCTGAGTCTATTCATGTGTTGACTTCCCGCGTCACACGTGAGAGGGGGTGTTGAAGTGTATATGTGGATTGCCTAGCTCTCTCCATCAGTTTAGACTTTTGGTTGAGTTGGCTAGTGCATGAAGCTTAACCACAAAATCTGTCCCGACCGGTTAGTATGTCCAAAATCCCACATACCGGCACCAAATCAGGGTGAGGGATGGGGAGGGGGGTCCGAACATCCACCACGTTAGACTCCAATACCCCCGGCTCACCCAACTTCGCTCATTATTCCCGCGCAAAAGCACACCCTCTCCGCCCGATCTTCCAACGCTCGTTTCACCATCCTCCGCCACTGCGATGGATCCGCAAGAGCCCTTTGAGAGGTTTGTGGTCCTCCCGGACCCTTACACAAAGGCGGTCATGCGCCCAGCCTGTAACACCCCGAGACCGATGTGCCAGGTGTCTTCCAATTATTTCGTTGTCTTTGCTTGCGTGATGCATCTTGTCATGTCATCATGTGCATTGCATCATCATGTTTTCAAAACCTGCATCCGTCCGGGTTCCCCCAGTTCCGTCCGTTGTCCGTTCTGAGCCCAACCACACTTGCACGCGCCCGCGGCATGTCCGAAATAGTATTTTGTAAGTGGCCGGAAAATGTTCTCGGAATGGGTTGAAAGTTGGCGTGCGGTGTTGTTTTGTTGTCAGTAGACCGCCTGCCAAGTTTCATCGCATTCGGAGTCCGTTTGATGCCCCAACGGATAACTACCGCCAGGCCCAACCTAACCCCTCTCGTCAGCCCGCGGCCCTCCTCGCGCGCGTCCGAAAAGCTGTCCCGGACCCGACCCGGGCAGTCGTCACCGTTGGATCCGGATCATCCCCAAACGTCTACAAAACGTCTCTGTTTTCTTATTTGGGCTCCTTAGCCTATTTTTTTCTGACCGTTCGATTACGATCGGAGGGACGGAATAGCCCCTAACCAAAATCCAGTGCTATATATATATAGACCAATCCCCTAGGCAAAACCCTAGTTTTTAGGCCATTTGTCCCATCCATCCTCCTGCCCGCCGCCACCTACATGCCTTCTCTCCACCTCGGGATCCTCCCGATCCAGATCCACCCGAGCGCCTCTACCCTGATTTCAGCGCCACCCAGTCAGAGCCCTCCCGTGGCTCCCCTCGACTCTGCCTCGCCCTCGCGCCTGAGACCCCAGCTGACCCGAGTTCCTCCTCCAACCAGAACGAGTGCCACCGCCGCCGTTTGGAGCACGGCCGTGCCGGAGATGAGTCCCTCGCGCCCCTCTCTCCCTTCTTCTCCTTCCTCTGTTTTCTTTCTCTCATTCCTCTCTCTCGTTTTTGTTGCCATGGACAGGAGCTTGCCGCCGCGTTGTTCTGCCTCCGCCGGCGTTCAAAATTCCCATGTCGCCCGAACCCAGCCGTCCTCGTCCGTCACGCTGCCGGTGACCAAGCCACCTGAGTGGTGCCGCTGCCTTCCCTGCTCCTGTGTGCGAGTGAGGAGGATGAGGACGACAGCGCCAAGTCACCGTCACCGCCACCGCTCCCCTGCATCATCCCGAGCGCATCTTCCTGCGGCTACCGAGCCCCGCTTCTGTCGAACCTTGGATGAGTACGCCGCCCCGCGTCGAACGCTCCAGTGACCCGCCAAGTTCCGCAGCTCGACCCGCCAAGCCCGTGCGCCGGCATTTTCTGCTTCGCCCCTGCGCATCATGTACCGAGTCGCCGCCGCCTTGCTCTGTCCACGCCGTTTCCGCCAACGGCCTCCTCCCAAGCCCGGCGCCGCCAAGTTTGCTTCCCCGCTGGATCTCGCCGCCTCGCCACGAACCCGTCCATCCTTGACCTCCTGTGCGCGCCACTGCTTCCCCTGCATCGTCTGAAGCCGCCCGCGTTCCCCTCTGTCTTCTTCCTGTCGAACAGAGGAACCGCTGCCTCGCTCGCCCGTGTTGACCCCGCCCCAGCGCGCTTCCAGTCCAGCAAGGCCCAACCGCCAGATCCGGCCCAGCGTGGTGAGGGCACCCCGCGCCCCTCTTTTTTTTTCTCTTTCCCTCTTGTTGGGTCAGCCAG